CTGATGGTAGAAAAGGCCCTTGTGATTGTGCTTTGGAATGGTTCTACTTGTGTGTAGGTCAGGCAAGTTATGGGGCTTTGGAATTATAGCAGTAGCGTATTGGTTCGGCAGTTGAGGAATCAGTGACTTGTTCAACACTAGAAGGTTTAACTCCCATATTGCCTCTTGTTGTTCATTATGTTCATGGATTCGTTAACTTTAGGATAAGTCTTTTACTCGAAGGATTATCTAATCCCTTTTATCAAGTGAAAAGTTTCTGGCATTAGCGAATGGTCGGTGATTCTGTTTTCCAGTGGAAACAACAAGGTAATCAGAAGTTGGATGATCAATTTGGAATGCAAAGTGGAGTTGAATTAGCAGTGGTTCAGTATGAGCTGTCTGTCGGGGAGTCAGACAAGTTTTAAGATTTCAGATTTCGGGCAGAGTAGAAATGGTTATTCTTCAGGGGTTAATTTAAGTTGAGTGAGGATCCGTTCATTATTAGGATTTGGGAGCCTTGCTAAGGTTGGGTTCGGTTGCATTTGTGGAAGATTGTTGTATGCATGGGATTGCTTAATCGGTCCGCATCGGGGTTGTGGTTGAACTGTTCAAGCTGTCTGGCGTACCTGGGATGGTAAGGAATGATTTCGAGGACGAAATCTAATTTAAGTGGGGGAGAGTTGTAACACTTGATTCAAAGTACTTTTCAGCTTAGACCCTTGGTGTGTTAATGTTTTGCAGAATTGGTCCCTAAGGGGGCAGATTTGCCAACTTTAGAAAATTTGGAGTACGTTGGGCGTACTGGCTCATTTCTTGATCACAGGTCTTAACCATGTACGTGGGGCGTACGTGGAGTACGCAGGCGTATGTGAGGCTGAGGCAAACCCTAATTTTTAGGGTTTACACCCTATTTAAACCACATTATAGCCTCATTTGGACATGTTGAACCAACCTCCACCTCTCCTTGTCCCAGATAACGAAACCCTTGAGTGTTTTGGTGAGTTTTGAGCTTGAAGAGTGTTTGTTGGTGGTTTGTGAAAGAGAAGAAGAAGAGGAACACTTGAGGGGAATTGCTTGAGCTTGTGGATCCAGGATCATCTCCACATTTGCAAGCTTTTTGAGGTAAAAAGCTTACATCTTTATGCTCTTATATGTTAGATCTAGTTCATGGAGCATTTTGTGCACTTTTTTAGCCCTTTGTGATAAAGGTGAGCTTTTGATCTACTCCAGAGGCAATGGATGCTAGATCTTAGCTCCAATCAGCCCCCATGTTCATAAAAAATGTCAACTTTATGGAGTATTTGGACCCATGCATGTATTGAGACATTTGTTAAACACGTTTTGAGCTATTGGGCCCCATTAAGCCATGCATGTATGTAAAGTTGCCAACTTTATGTGATAAGTCACATTTAGGGATCAGATCTGTGAGTTTGGAGGAAAGGCTTAATCAATTAAGTGCTTAATGGAGTAGGATGGCACACTGGGGAGTACGTTGGGCGTACCTAGCTGGTACGTTGTGCGTACTAGCCCCAGAAGGAGTACTCTAAGCATACGAGCTGAGTACGCCCCGCGTACTTTGCAGATGGGCCTTGGGCTTGGCGTTTTCGGTATTAGGCAAATGTTTGGGTTTGTAAGTGTGGGCCTGGTTGGTCCGTTAGACTTCTATTTTGGTCTTTGGTCTAGCATGTTGGGCTTCCTTGGATTTTAGGCCATGATGGGTTTTGGGCCCAATTTGAAAGATCGAGCCATATTTAGGCCTTGGGTTGTCATTTAGGTTGTGGACCTTTTGAATAGTTGAGTTGGGCTTTGGATTTGGGCCAAGTTAGATAATGAGTAAAATGGTATTTTACCCTGGTTATGGGTAAGTAGCTTAGACTCTGGTTATGAGTTGAGACCCAATTTATAATTGCATGTTATTGATATTGATAGCGCGAAGATTTTCTGGACCAACAACCAGAGATTCATTCAAAGGATTCAGCAGCTTGAGGTGAGTTTCCTCACTGTGTTTAGCGGGTCGAAGGCACCAATGTCGGCTCATGGTTTATTATGTTAGGATGCTAGATGTCTGCGTGACTCTTGCATGTGTTATGTGTTGGTATGCTTACCGGGCAAGGCCCGCTGCCGGGCGGGGCCCGATTATTGTACCGTATGCTATTATCTTTGTGATTATCGCATGTGTTTGTATGATTATATGTTTATATGTATACCGGGGGGGATGCTAGGCGGGGCCTGATGACTGATAGATCTGTATATCGGGCGGGGCCCTATGTCGGGCGGGGCCCAATGTCGGGCGGGGCTCACTATATGTATGGTAGTGGTAGGGGTGAAATAGACCCGATATCCGGTTGAAATAGACCGAAGGGGATTGCAAGCACCCGTATATGCTTGGTTGTATGTTTGTATGGTATGTGGTATTTTGGGGAACTCACTAAGCTTTATGCTTACGGTTTTTATGGTTATGATTTCAGGTACTTTCGGTTCGAAAGGGAAGGGTCCGGTGTGATCACAGCGCATCCACCCATGTTTCCGCACTATGATGATTTTAGGATTGTACTCTGATAACTGATTTCTTATAAAGTACTTTTGAATATTTAGAAAAAGGATAATGAATGTTTGACTTAAAGATAGTTAAGGTTTTGGTTGAATTTAAAATGAAACTTTTACCTCATAATTTTTGGGTCGTTACAACAGTTCTCTGTTACTTGTATGGGATTACAAGTGTAAACATGTTGCATTTTATAATTCATTAGTCTAAACACACTTTTGATTATAAAAACACACTGAGTCAAAACCATAAACAAATCTCTTTTACTTGTATGGGATTACAAGTGTAAAATAAGTTGCATTTTATAATTCATTAGTCTAAACACACTTTTGATTATGAAAACACTCTGAGTCAAAACTACAAATAAATCTCTTTTACTTGTATAGGATTACATGGGTAACATATATTGCATTTTATAATCTTATAATCATTAGCCTAAACATACTTTCGATTATAAAAACATACGGAATCAAAACTTGTAAAGCTCATCAACATTATTGTTGACGTGTTTTAAATATATGTATCTTCAGGAACTTAGGAGCTGGAAGACACCTTGTATGTCATGGAATAATGCATTTCTTTGTTTTAAATGGTTGGCCGATATGTTTGTCCTCTTTGTTTCATTTTGACTTACGTTTTACAGAACTTGTTCTAGTGATTATCGTCTTTTAGATTGTCAACAATGTAAATCCTCGTATTGGATTCATAGAATAATGTAATGTTATATAAATCTTTGTATTATTCAATGTGTTGTTAACTGTGATCCAACATTTACGTCGCAACCCCGTCGTTTCCGCCATCGGTCGGGGTGTGACATTTTGGGTGTGAGCCTTTAGAGGCATTCCTACTTTGGGTGCTAAATCCTTCCAAGAGCACCCAAGAGTCCAAGATCTTCAAAGGAATCACAACTATATACGATTATACTTGAAAGATTAATAATTTTATCCCTCTTTTTATTTTAAATTCATAATTTTGAAAGTAGGTTGCCATAATAGTAAAACATAGATCTAGGGTGCATGCACACTTAGGATTATTATCAATTGCTTCTGTTGCTTAAAATTACTGTATAGATGCATAGAAAACCCAACATTGTTAAGAATAGAGACTTGGGTATTAGTGTAATTTCATATGAATTTGCATAAATTAGATTGGGTATATTAAATTGTTGTGTTTGAGAAAATTATTACAACTAAAACTTGTGATCTTATATGTTTCACAAACTAACGTTTCAAAGATTTTCAACTGTTTTTGGGAACTTGACCTTAGACTTGGATAAAGCTAAAATCCAGTCTTAAAAGGGATGAATCACTAAGCTAATGAATCATGTGAAATCTTAGTGAACCTATTTTTGGAAGACTGCATGACGATACTATTTCACATATCATAATGTGATAAGTAGCATCAAGAACTGGAAGAGTTTGTTTCATTACCCGAGAGAGTCGCATGGGTGATTAAGCTAATTAAGTGGGTGTTCCTTTCATCGTCAGACACTTAAGGTGAATCACATAACATATTTCCATAATAGGATGGGTATGTGGGATACGTATAGGTATAGCCCATCCATTTTTACAACACCTAAAGTTTCTACAAGTTTTCATATCCCTATCAAGGCGAGGATGGACATAGGGGTAACAAACATAGACACGCATACTCATGATTCGGGAAGCAAGAGCTTGACTGGAATTACTCAAAACGTTTGAAGTACTCAAATAACTAAAAGGAGTATGTAGACGTAAAGTCAAACCTTGACCGATACGCCCATTAGTAGATTTCCTAGTTAAAATGTACGCATCATTTTAAACAATGCCTATATCATTAAAAAATTGCAAAGTAGTATGGTCCTTTTGGTTAAAACGCTAGCGACTGATATAGATCAAAATTATGTTACATTGAGAAGAAAAATGGATTCCACGAGAACTTGGCATATTGCATATAGTAATACATTGAGAAACGGTTGCATTGAGAATGACAAATGTTAATTACACGTGGTGTATTGGTGAATAAAAAAGCCTCCGCAAGAAATTAAGGAACTACATTTAGTAATTAGTAATTCATGGTGACACCATTGCATGAGGAATAATCAAATTTAAGCTCGAAGGTTCTATCAATGGAAAAGTTGCATTTTAGTTCCAAAACTTGTAATAAAAGTATTTTGTGAAGTTAAGAATCTCACGAGCGGTGTGCAAATATGTTTTATGTCCAAAAATTGTATTGCAGATGCACGGCATATGTTTACGAATTGAATGGTCATTTTGTTAGAGTACTTGGAAACCTTTGGTGACACATACTCGATTATGGTCATTTTAACAAATAGTCATTCTCTGTTTTTTATTCGGTTTGATTTTGAAAGAATACATGATACCCTATTCAAATAGCAATGACAAAGGGTCAAAACCGCATTAGGCAATGTGATATTTACCCACAAATTGTATATGGTTTTGTAGATAACCTATATGAAGTCAAAATCCAAACATATTTCAGCTCTTGCCATCGATTTTTTTACCACTACACATTATATTTCTGAGGTTTTTTCACGATAGTCATATACAGCTCCATCAGAACAACAAGCACAACGTTGTCTGCATAACTACTCGTTTTGATGTCTAACGAACTAAAAATCTTCTATATACTATGAGGAAACTTAGCACAAAAATCCTCACGATGAAAGTAGATCACACAAAAGTGCCACTTTTGGATCTTGATCAACGCCCCTTTCTGTTGATCTTTGGATTTTTTGACATTCGGACACTTTTTGGCGTCACTTCAACCAACTCATCTTCTTGAATGTACTCGATGCAGTCATCAAGACTATAATCCATCGGCGTGTCAAGAACAACTGTATTATAAACAATTTCATAAAATTGTTAGTGTCTGAGTTGTGGCTGATAACTTTCATCATGGGTTAAAGTTGATTCAGAAGTTATTAAAGGTTCTTACCTGACACTTCTTTATTGGAACGAACATTAGTAGCAGCTTTCTTTTTGCATACATTGAGGGATAAGTCACCAGGTCGTTGATGAATGCCAACAATTTGGCCTTTGTAAACTTCTGCTCCGGGTTTCACAAACAATTGCCCTCGTTCTTGAGAACTAGCAAGAGCATAAGAGGTTGTGGTTCCATCCTCAAATGCAACCTACAAAAATAAATAAATTTCCAATAAAACACTACTGCCTTCTGTATTTTCTGTATTTTCCCCATTTGACTTACCAGGGATCCAAGATCACGGGTCGACATATCACCGGCCCACGGGCCGTAACTGTCAAATATTGTGTTCAGAATCGCGGTCCCACGGGAAGCCGTTAAAATTGCATTTCTCAATCCAAGAAGCCCACGGGTCGGAATTTTGTATTTCAGTAGTGTCGTTCCTTCAGACCTGATTAAAAAAAATGTAAATTAATTATAAAAAAAATAATATTTGGAAACAATATAAGACAGAAAACTTTGAGCTTACCCAAGGCCTTGCATATCAACCATTTGCCCTTTCCTTTTTCCAAGAAGTTCAACAACCGAACCCATGTGTACTTCAGGCACCTCTACAGTCGCAATCTGCGTGTAATATTAAAAATTTTATAATCAAACCATTATATTAATAATAATAATAATAAAAAAAGAATAAGAAGAGAGAGTGTATATATTATTACCTCGTAAGGTTCGAGCACCTTATCGTCCACTTTTTTGTTAATTACTTTCGGAGGGCCCACCATGAACTCGAAGTTTTCCCTTCGCCTAAAAGAATTGTTATTTATTAATAAAAAAAAAAAAATAAAAGATTTTAGAAATGTAGAATTGAAGTAATACGTGTCTTACATGTTCTCTATGAGTATAGTGAGATGTAAAGTACCACGTCCACTAACAAGAAAAGTATCTGCAGTTTCACCATCTTCAACTTTCATGGCCAAATTCCTCTCAAGCTCACGATAAAGTCTGTCTCTTAAATTTCTACTTGTAACATACTTCCCCTGAATGAAAAGAAAAAATATTGTTCAAATGATGCGCATATAAATATATATAATTTAATAATTTTTATATACCTCGCGACCCACAAAGGGTGAAGTATTGATAGAGAAAGCCATTTTTACGGTTGGTTCTTCAACCCTAATAGCAGGCAATGGCTTCCCATCGTTTTTATCAGCAATCGTCTCCCCAATCTGATTAAAAAAATATTAACAATTAATCTCTACAATTTTGCATTTTTCTACATGAATAGAAAAGCTTTCATATGCATTTACCTGAACATCACCAACACCACAAACAGCACAAATGTCCCCAGCCTCAACACGTTCTGCAGGTGCCCTGTAAAACTTCTCAAATACAAAAAGTTCACTAACTTTTCCAAATCTGCATGAATCTTCGGTTGTGCATATCTGAGATCATGTTGATACAAAAAACTTTGTTACTAACTTTTTATAAAAATGAAAAGTCATATAGACAATGTGTTGAAGTTGAATATAAATCAGACTTACCCGAACATCCATGCCTCTAGTGAGAACCCCTGCATGTAAGCGTCCAATAGCTATCCTCCCCTTGTGCTCATCATATTCTGTGCTTGTGACCTAAATATAGTTAAACAACATTCATCAGCCATTATAATATAGTGTTATGAGAGAGGTAAAAAAAGTTACAAGCATTTGAAGTGATCCATCTTTCTTGATTTTTGGGCCTGGTATGCATCTAATTATGGTCTCAAAAAGTGGTCCAAGATCATCTGCCAAATTATCAGGAGAAAGTCCAGCCATTCCCTTTATGCCACTCGCATATACAGCTTGAAAATCACACTACACGATAAATAAGATTGTTGTAACTTGTAAGTTATGTTATATTATATATTATAGATGCAAATAAATGTATTTATCATGTGACATACTTGTTCATCGGATGCATTTAGTTCAATGAAAAGTTCAAAAGTGGAGTTGATGACAAATTCCGGACGTGCAGATGGTCTATCGATTTTATTGACAACAACAACAACAGCATGACCAAATTCAAGAGCTTTCTTCAAAACAAATCTTGTTTGTGGCATTGGGCCTTCAACAGAATCTACCTGATAAAATCAATGGAAGTACTTTGTTATTTCTTGAGAGAGAAATCAATGGATTGATGAGTTTTTAAGAATAATTACCACTAAAATAATTCCTTCCACCATATTGAGGACACGTTCTACTTCACCTCCAAAGTCAGAATGACCAGGAGTGTCGATAATATTCATTTTTGTATCTTTATAAGTAATTGATGTGTTTTTGCTGAGGATTGTAATCCCCCTTTCACGCTCCAAATCATTTGAGTCCATTATTCTTTCTTCTACAACTTGATTATCACGAAATACCTGCAACAAATTAGTATTAGACTATTAGCGAATATCCCCAACAAGTGATAACAACTAAATAAAGCAGTCATTGTTAGGTTAACAAGACATACAGTAGAGGTTGGTTAGTTGTGCTATTTAGTATTTACACGATCATTAAATTATAAACATGTAAAAGTAATAGAAATGTAAGTGAACGAATATTATGCTTACCTTTGCTTGTTTCAACATAGCATCCACTAGAGTTGTCTTTCCATGATCTACATGAGCAACAATTGCTATATTCCTTATGTCGTTTCTCCTCACCAATGCAACCTTCTTCTCTGAATAAATAAAGTACCAAAAAGCTTTAAAATACACAAAACTTGTTCAATTCACAAATTATGACCCAAAGATAACAAACACATATGGAAATTGCTACATGCAATAAGTATCATGGATCTTTAGAAGCAACAAAAGTAATATTGGGCAAAAATAAGGGTAAAACTTATACTTGATAATTCAACCTCGAGTAAATGCAAGAAATAGTAATGTACTTTCATTTGTTTGTTTATTATAGCATCCTACTTTAATTTTCTTCTATTACAGCATTGAATTTCAATTTCCTTCTTATTATGGTATTGTACTTTGGAAAATCTATCCAATTACAATATTTCTTCTTTCAATTGCTTTACTTGGATATAGTATTTTGATAATCTATCCAATTATAGGAAGGAAAATTGCTCATATTTTGATGATAGTGCTATATTTTGGTAAAGTTTTCATAGTAAATTTCTGTAATAGGACCTAACAAAGCATGATGCAATATTAAACAAATTCATGAAAGTAAGTTGCTATTTCTTGCACTTAACCCTTGATCAAGATAACAAGATAGCTAGGTTTATGATCATAAACAGGAAAATTTATGAGAAGTTCAACTAAATACGAGTTTATGAACATTTAAAACAACAAAACTAAAGAAATTAAAGGAAACCAAGTACAGAGAAACAAAAGTATTTATATGAAATTATACCAGTGGCAGTTTCAGGTGCCTCAGCTTCAGAAACAGAGCATTTGATGAAACTGTGAAGTGGGTTTCTTCTTGAATGCGAAAAAGATGGAGACTTGATGTTGGAGGAAGAATAAGAAGATAAGGTACGACCAACAGGGAGTTGGGTTCTGAGTATCGGTGAAGAAAACGAGGAGTTCCTGTGACTAGGGTTAACTGTGGGAGTGACATAACTGTGTATTCCAACAGCCATCTCCATTGCTAATTTGTTCGGTCTCAGTTCGGTCTATGAACAGAGAACGAGGGATAGAAAATGGGATGGAAGGGATGTAATGTAATTGGAAGTGAATGGTGGTCATTGTGTTTAAAAGGTTTGGGAATTTAACGATTGTAATAGAGAAATTAGAAGAGGTGGGAGATGATTTGGGAAAAATAATATAAATTGTATGGCTCTGAACCTCTGATTATATATTCTCTCCTCGTGTCACATTGTAGAGCCAGTGTTCATATTTTGTCCAATATCAATATGGGAATTGCCGTATTGGGCATAGTTGCTCAATTGGGCTTTCACAGGTAGAGTCATCGTTTATATTTGGAAAAATGAATTAACGAGAAATGACACAAATGCTCTATGAATTTTTTAGGGTTTCACCATTGAGTTTTTAAAGTTTTTATCGGGCTTTATGAGTCCCTAAACTAGGATATAACTTGCTTTTTTAGTCTCTGTCAACCTGTAATAGCCGGTTCAGTGACATTTTAGACCCAAAAAACTCACATTGTGCCCCTATAAAGCCAAAAAAATAAGTTTGGGGATCAATTCGTACAAAAAAAACTTTTCTTCTTTTCTTCTAAAGCCGATTAACACTCAACTCGTACCCACCCACCCCCCCCCCCCTCAAGAAATCGATCATTGCTCTTCTTTCCCTCTTCACAGTCGATCGTCACACACACTCACCGAAGATCACAACCCTCTTCCCCTTCTAATCGATTCTCGATCACAACCCCCTTCCATTATTTTCTTTGATTCGATTTCATCTCTTCAAGGAATTGACCCCCTCCTTCCTTCTTCTCTGTTCAAAATTGCAAAAGCTACCTCTCATTCTCCCTTCGAGTTGCAGGTTTGATGGATGTTGAGAAGAATGCGTGGGTTTGATGAGGTTCATAGAGAAAACGAGAGTTAATCTCTTTTTTTCTTCGATTTGCAGGTGATTGGTTGTGGTGGCTGACCGGTGGTTTTTGTGGGTTATGGGTGCTCCAATGGTGGCTTATTTCACGAGACAAAGGGGAGGAATAATGGTGTTTGGATTGGGTTGTTGTGATATTGATTCGATGGTGATTAAGATGGGTTATGGTGGCTGTAATGGTTGAATAAAATGTTGATGAGCAGTTGGTTCAGGAGGTTACGAATTGAGTGTGAATCGGCTTTAGAAGAAAAGGAGAGTTTTTTTGGTACGAATTGATCCTCAAACTTATTTTTTTGGCTTTATAGGGCTACAAAGTGAGTTTTTTTTGGTCTAAAAGGCCACTGAACCGGCTATTACAGGTTGACATGGACTAAAAGAGCAGGTCATATCCTAGTTTAGGGACCCATAAATCCCGACAAAAACTTTAGGGACTCAACGGGTAAACCCTAGAAAGTTCGTAGGGCATTTGTGTCATTTTTCCAAATGAATTATGATGGTAATAATGAATTTTTCATTTTTTGTTTATATTCAAACAATTTTTTTATATAATTAGCTATCAAACTTCTTCAATATATTAAAATATTATCATTGTCGTTTAACAAGTTTGATGATCAATGGTTTAACAAAAAAGTTGTCTAAACATGAACAAAATGAAATTTTCATTAACCTTCGAAGTCATTTTTCCAAAATCAAAGAGGAATTCTTACTGGTTTACATAGATTTTTTTTATATATTTAAAAACAACTTTTGATTTAACTTTTATCGGTTCAATGAAATCAGTTGTGGTCGGTTTGTGCTCATGAACCATCATGATTCAATTTTGAATATGTACAAGTGTTTTCAATTTTGAACATGTACAACTTTTATTAGTTCAACAAAATTAGTCGAAGTCATTAAACACAAGATCCAAGAATATAGGTTTAAGATCATAACCACATCCGGAAGAAAAACTCCAACGGTCCATGACTTCTTCAAGTTCTATTTCTCAAGTTCATGGACTGCGATCGGCTAAAATGTTTTTTTTTTAACGACAAATTTAATTTATTCCTTAATTTCATTTATGTCCACGATGTGAATTGAACCTTCGACCTCAAGGAGGGAGGGTAACTTGTTAAATGTGTTCAAATGTTATCATTGTCACCGACTATCTTAGGTGACAATCTTAATATTTAAACACATTAACAAGTTTGGTGGTTAATCCTATACGAACAAAAGAAGTTGCCTAAATATAAACAAAATGAAAAGTTCATTGCCCTCCTAGGACATCTCACTTTTTTTAGAGTGTTTTTATAATGGGTTAAAATCGATTCCAAAGCAACAATTACATACTAACTTTTCGAGACTCAAACATTGTAACATCCCGAAATTCAGGTACACCTCTTTAACCATTATTCTTTACCAAGTTGTCAAGTTTAGCCCCTGAAAGAAGGATGTTGCAAACGAGTACGCTGAGCGTACTGAAGAGTACGATGCGCGTACTCATGCGCTTACTATGGGCGCGGACCCAATTAGGTACGCTGGGCGTACCAAAGTTACGTTGGACGTAATTGGCCCAGATGCAAAACCCTAAATGTGACTTGAGGACTATAAAAGGAATGATATGGTCTTTACCCCAGCCACCATTTCCAGAGAGTGAAACCCTAGAGAGCTAAACCTTCGTTCTAAGCTTGTGTGTGTGTTCTTAAGCTTGAAAGTGACATTGTGTGGTTGTGAAGAAGAGGAGGAGGCCATTGTGGAAGCTAGAAGTTGGAGGGAAAGCTTAGATATGAGTTCTACAGAGGTTGGAGCTTCACTTGGAGGTAAAAGCTCAAAGCTTTCCTTCCTTGTCATTCTTGATTTGTGCTTTATGGACCAATTTTTAGGGTTTTTGGTCCCAAGGTGGAGACTTTATGAGCAAATGGTCTCCATAAGCTTAGATCTGCCCTATTTCAGTGTAATATGTGTTGTAGGTTCATAAAAATCCAATCTTGGACGTTGAGATTAAGTCATGCATGAGATTAGGGCTTAATGGGGAAAGAGGATATATGTTTGAAGTGATTGGTGACCTTTATAGCCATGCAAAGGCTTAAAGGTTTCGACTTTATGACTTAAGAGACAGTAGGGAGCTTAGATCTGAGATATGAGCCTAGGTCTTAATCTATTCAGACCAAAAATGAAGGAAGTAGGAAATTGGGACTTACGCTGGGCGTAATCCCAGTACGCGCCGCGTAGGGGGTCGAGTTCCCCGATTCTGGATGACACGGAGTACGCCCCGCGTACAGATCTGGTACGCACAGCGTACCTCTCCACAGTTGACTTTCGTTGACTTTTAGGGTTTGGTCAACGCTTGGACTTTTGGACCATTAGAGGGGTAAAATGGTCTTTTAGCCTTCTGAGAGAACATAGGAAGGGGCTTGTCTAGCCTTGAGAGCCGTTATTGAATTGAGATGATTACTTTATGTGTTTAGGCGGGGCTAGGTCATTGTTACGAGATTCAGGGATACCGAGCACGTGAGTTACTAGACAGCATACGAGGTGAGTCTTCTCACTATACATTACCTAGAGTGGTATCTATGTGCAGACCGGAGGGTCTTATGTGTTATGTGTATGTTTGAGATTATGTGCATTGAGATATATAATATATATATATATATATATATATATAATAGATATATTATATATATATAATATATATATTATATATCTATATATGCTATGTGTTATATAGACCGGACCGGAGGGTCCAACGATTTAGACCGAGCTAGAGGGTCCAACGAGCTAGACCGGACTGGAGGGTCCAACGAGCTACGGGACTGGAGGGTCCCGCTGAGACACATTGACCGGAGGGTCATACCGAGTTATAGCCTCGAGTGGCTTATGTGTTGTATGTGGTATTTTGGGGAACTCACTAAGCATTTATGCTGACCGTGTTATGTGTTATGTGTTTCAGGTACCAGCGAGGATCGCGGGAAGGCGCCGGCATGATTTGTACACACTGGCATTGATTTATATTTGAGATTTTGGGATTGTTTATTCGTGATGACATTTGATATACATGAGATTTTTGGGAATATTTTATGAGTTTATTTATGTTGAAAAATGAAAAATTGTTTTGAAAATTTACGACGTTACAAGTTGGTATCAGAGTCTTGGTTTGAGGGATTCGGATGCACCTTCGGGCGTATCTGAACTCAAACTGAGGATTTGAGAAGATTTTTCATAAAAGAAACAATTTTTTTAAAAAAGAGTAAAAGATTTTTGAGAAAAGCAGAACGGAGCAGTGTGTACGATCAACCAGCGCCCGAACGGTGATTTCCCAAAATACCCTTACATTATGTGTTATGAGATATTATGTGATATGATATGCATGCTAGAGTAGGTTAGGTATTCATATCTAGGACTAGAGTAGCCTGATTTGTGATGCCTTAGCCTAGGAGATTTCTGCTACTATGAGATACTTCGAGAGTGAGTAGGTAGCAGCGAGGAGCTTATGAGTGGTCTACTGGAGGGTAGCCTGAGTTCAGTGAGATATAGAGTACTTGTGACCTGGGATCCTAGGATGAGGACTTGCGGTGAATACCGATGCGTTGTGGAAGGTAGTATAGGGCCCGTACTACTAGAAACACCAGATCGGTGAGCAGTCCAAGTAAGAATCCTTAGGGTACTAAAGAACAAGTAGGGTTGAGTATCGAGTGCGAGTATACTCAAGAGAGTCTCTGATTTCTTTTGTGTTGTATTTCAGAGACATCATGGTTGGGACGCGCCACAACCCAGGAGGCAGTGGTGCCAGTGATGAGGAGATCCGCAGGTTGATTCATGAGGAGGTGGTCGCAGCCATACGAGCTGAGATTCCTGAGATGTTTGGGTCTATCAAGACCACTTTGATCGAGACGTTTGACGAGCGGTATGCTTCTCTTACCGAGGTTGCTGTTGCTGCAGCCGTCGCCGCTGCCAGGCCACAGGGGGGGTGACTCGTTGCTGTACCGAGAGTTCAGCAAAACGAAGCCACCAGAGTTTGATGGGACTCAGGATCCGATAGCTGCGATGAGGTGGATCTCTGACATTGAGGGATGCTTCTACACCTGTTCTTGTCCGGAGCATCTGAGGGTACGGTTCACGCTGAACCAGCTTTGCTTGGGAGCGAAGGACTGGTGGAAGTTCGTGACAGCGGATTTTACTTCTGCGGAGCTTACCGCGGTGACCTGGGAGAGGTTCACCACTATGTTCAGAGATGAGTATGTTCCCCTGGTGGAGAGGGAACGT